CTGACGTTTGCGAGATACATGTCATCTTCATAGTTACCTATGAGGTAAATATTATCATCCCCATTTTATAGATGAGGAAATCAGGGCTAAGAGAGAGAAGGTCACTAGCCAAAGTCACTCCCAAACCTCTGCAGTGAGCTCCCCCTAATTGGTCACCTAGCTGAAATTTGAACCCGAGTCTGCTGGGCGCTGAACCTGTGCTCTTTTCATACTGCTTCTGGAAGTGTAGGAGGAAGCATGATGCAGTGGAATGATGACGTGTTTTATTTTAGGTTCAAACCCGAGCTCTTCCCTGTGTGGCTTGTAGGCGAGCTTGCATCCCTTCCTTCTTTGCTTCCTTGTCAAATGTCCATCAAGGGCCTGTGATGTCCCTGTCAAACACGGGGCCAGGAGCTGGGAAGATGCCAGTGAACTCCCCGGGGCCAGCCCTCCTGTCCTCTTCCATCTGCTGGTTGGGTTTGCCTAAGGGTGGGGGGACCAGTGGAAGGTGTATGACACAGTTGGGGTGTTGTGTATGTGCCTGTGTGTGTGAGGGCTCTGCTAGGTACAAGTATTTGTGGTTTCTGGGGTGCTGTGTACATGTGCAAGGGAGTAAGTGTATATGTATGTGGTAACGATGGAGTTTGAGATGGGCCATGGGGAGGACATGCCAGATGCGGTGGGAGCAAGTACCGGAGCTTCTCTGTCTGGTATGGCAGCCGGTTGCCCCAGGCTAGCACCATCATGTCAAATAAATACTGGGTTTTGAAGACTTTGTACCAAAAAATGATGTTGAGTATTTAAGTATTCAATCAACCCTTTCAAAGTATTCGAATTATTATTTAAAGTTGTTTAAGATGATTTTAAGTATTTAGTTGATTATTAAGTGATTAATACTTTTTATATTGATGACATGTGAAAATGAGAAGATCTGGGAAATTGTGAGTTAAATAAAATATTTTATTAAAGTTAATTGCACCTGTTCCTTTTTATTCTTTTTTACATGGCTGCTAGAAAATGTAAACTTACATATGTGACTCACATTATCTTTCTATTGAACAGCTTTGCTCCAGAAGAATAAAAACCGGGGATGTTATTTCCTATCTTAGCTCAATGATCTGGAAACATTTGCCATGTGACCTCCCCAGGAAGGCTCACAAGAGATGCATACATAACATGTTCTCTTCCTTCTCATGACATTTCAGTGGCCACTGTTTATTGCGGGACTCATGGCCCTCTTACAATATGGGGAAGATGTCTGGTGACAACTGCAGAGCTTCTGGCTTGGTCTCCTTGAGTATTCCTTAGCCTTTGGGTCTAACATCTTGAGATGTAACTGCTGTAATCCTCCCCCACCCCTCAAAATGCAGGGCTGGCAATCAAATGAAATATATGTTGCTTAAAGCCATGGCCCCTGACCGTCTTTGTTTTTCTTTATTATGGCAAAAAAAAAAAAAAAGTGAAATATTTGGAGTGAAATCTGGTGTTTCAACATAGTCATTGGATTAAAAAAGAAGATGACCCATTGTATTAAAGAGAACGTCTTTTTCTGCATTAGATTTATGAAACTGGGAAAAATCTTGGGAATGGACTGGTCCCACTCAGATGCCCCTTCCTTGGAAAGTGGGGCTCTGAGAGGCTAAGGGGCTTGCTTAGGGTAGTAGAGCCCGAGGAGGTGGGTGGGCCCTGGAACCCAGTCTCCCCACCCCCTTCAACACACACCTGCCACACCATGCTGCCCATTCTTCTCTGAGATGCTCCCTTTCCAGCTCCTTCCTCCTTGGTTCTTCATCCTCTTCTGCTGCCTTCTCTCTTTGACCTAGTGTCTTCCGCTGAATATACGGGGCGGCAGAAATGAGAGCCAGAAAGATCTAGAGAGGTTCAAGGATGGGCAGAAATTAACAAGACAAAATGGAGCAGAAAAGAGAAAAAGATTTTGAGTAGACACTAACAAACGAAGCCAGGGAGACTTTCTTGGCCTTAACAGAAGTTCAAGTGAAACAAGGCAACATGGGTGTATGTGGAGAAGCAAGGGCTTGGAACCACAGGCTCAGGGCATGAGGCCTGGCCATGAGGCCTTGGAAAAACCTTAGCTTCCTCATCTTTAATCACCCTCCCCGAGCTGTGGCGAGGAGTAAAAAGAGCCGGTGTCTCTGAAGGGGCCTCGTGATCTGTGAGGCACCGCCCCAACGGAGTGCCCAGCATTCAGGGGAGGAGGAGATGCCAGCTGTGAGAGCGGGATACATTAGCAGAGCCGCACGGCTGCCAAGGGATGCGAGTGCAGAGTCCAGAGGGAGGGATATGGCCCCGCACTTGTCCACTCATTTGGGGGGCACTGTGCTGTGTTCGGTTTTGGGAATTGCATTTTAAGAGGGACCTTGGCAAACTGTTGCTATTCCAGAGAGAGCTGTAAGAACAGCTCAGGGTCATAAGAGATGATTGAAGGATTCAGGGGGTGTTTAGTCTGGAGGGGGAAGAAAAAAAGAGTTTAGGATTAGGTCACTGTTCTCAGATACCTGCACGTGGTCCTGCAGCAGAGGTGAGATGTATTTTGGGGTGCTGGTGGCCAAGCCGGGGACCCAATGGATAGGACACAAACCTGGGTGCAATGGGAGCCTACGTAAGGCTCAGGGAACTTCTCCTGGAGAGCTTCCCTGGAAAGGCAGTGGGCTGCCCATCAACAGAAGTCTGCAGGCAGAGGTGGCCGGGCAAAGGCCAGGGTGGGGGGGCCAGGGGAGGGGGTGGCATGCCAGTCTCCCTCCTGCTGAGAGGTCCTCCACCAGCCCTCCCTTCTGAGACCAGCACTTCTCCTGCTCCTCTCTCCGAGCTCTCTTTCTGATCTTCTTTGCCACGTTGGCGCTCTTTGACTTTCCGCTCTGTCTGGGAATGGCATGAAGGTTTTTGACTCAGAAATATTTCTGCAATAATTAATAGTGTGCTTTAATGGAAAGGAGGAGGGAAAAACATTGAGAAACAAAGGCAGTTTTGTTACTTTTAAAGGCACACAGTAACCTGTTAAGTGGAGGAAGGAGCAGGAACATGGGCACGTGTGTTAGAAAATCTTGTAAAAGCTATAGCAAATCGCTTATTCTCCGCTATTGTTTAAAATGCAAACACAACTGCTAAGGCCCTTTGTTCTTGAATGGACCAGAATTTTCCTTGTTTATCCAATTCTTTCCCTAGCTACAGAGATTAGAGAGAATTCTAACTATAAGAGCTCTGTATCCTAGACCACTTTCTGCTTTCACAGTTTAAATGTTTTGCTGATTTGGTTGCATCACATTCTGTACAGGAGGTGTTTTCTTGATTTCTTGACTCCAGAAAAGCCATTTCCTTAAGGAAAATATCCCCCCCCCCCCACATAGTTAGTGTGGCAGCAAGCAGGGTGGGCGAGAACTAGCCAAATGTCCCCAGTTGAGCTGCCCTGGAGCTATTTCCAGTATTTTGCCCTGCCCCCAGCACCAATTATGCACCTGTCTCACAGCGCCCCACCTCAAACATCCCCACCATCATTTCAGAAACCTCCACCTAGACTCTTAAGGCACAAAATAGAACTCGGCAGATCCAGGTGGAAGGTGGTGGGGGTGGTGGTGGTGGCAGAGAATGGGTAAGAGTAACATTTTTGGTGAGGTTCTCTGAGCCAGAGTCCTTGCCCAGCCCTAAGGATGACAGCAGGGACCTGGAGAAGACAGACTTCAAGGCATGAGCTCTGGGTCTTTTGGAACACTGTCGGCCAGTTGTGGCAGGAAGAACCTGGAGAAGCAATGATGATGGCTCTTCGGGTCTGGGGACAGGCCAGTTGGGCCAGGCTGGGCAGGGCAATGAGGACTGAAAAGGCAGCAGAGGCCACAAGCAGCCTCAACGCACCCATGGCCTCCTCTGGAGGCTGTCGCACCAGTGGAGGCCCCTGTCCTGGAGGCTGCTGGGTTGAGCCCACAGCTCCCTGCCCAGCTGCACCTGGGTGTGACTTTGAACCCTTGGCTCCAGACAGCTCAGCCTGGAGACTAGCTGACGGGCTTGTTCTTGGAGTCTACGTTCTGGGGCGAGGGGCCAGCCAACTCTGATGTGAAGTCCACAGCCTTGCTTCTTCCCAGACACATTTCGCCTCCGGGTCTCTTCTGTTTAATGATGCTCTTCCATATGCTCCAATTCTGAGTTGTTCTGAAGCCCGGGCTTGTCTCTGTCCTCCCAGGGTGGTCCTGCACCGCACCCCCCAGCAGGGTGCGGTGTGGTGGGCGCAGGGATCTATGTGCCAACCCGGCTTCTAACATACCGGATTTGAGGGTCCTATTCTCAGAGACCGTGAGAATCTGGACGTCAGGTATTTCTGATGTGAGCAGTCTATGCCCCCTCCCCCGCCACCCTGGAGAAATGCTGGTTTAGAGGGAAGAACAAGAATATTGGAATAGGAGAAAAGAGCTGGGTTACTTATTATGTTACTTGAGCAAGTTAATTATCATTTCTGAGCCTTTGTTTCCTTTTTTTTTTTAAGATCTCATTTATTTGAGAGCAAGCACAAGTGCGGGGAGGGGTGCAGGGAGAGGGAGAAGCAGACTCCATGCTGAGCAGGGAGCCCAACACGAGGCTGGATCCCAGGCCCCTGGGCTCAGGACCCGATCTAAAGGCAGGCGCTTAACCGACTGAACCACCCAGGCGCCCAGGGCCTTTGTTTCCTTATCTTAACCGACTGAGCCACCCAGACGCCCTAGGGCCTTTGTTTCCTTATCTAGAAAATGCTAATCACATCATAGGGGAGTTTTCAGATATCAACGAAATGATATCTATGAAATGACATCTACGAGCTGTTCAGTAAAGGCTTATTGAATAGGAATTTTGGCTTCCTCTCCCCGTCCTCCAACAACAGGAAAGTGGCAACAGAGAATTTCCATTCTTCAGCGGGCCCCAGGCCATGGGCACCTGTGACAAGGCTACAGCATAGTCTAAAGGTGCAGGCTCGTCTCCAGTGCTCTGCGGCTGATCACACAATCCAGATTTTTCCAGCGATGGCTTGAAAAGAAACCACCAGGAGGTCAGAGGTCAGCCATCCGCTGTCATTTTTATTTGTAGTAAACCATAGTGTCAGGACACACACACACACACACACACACACACACACACACACACGGTACGTTACAGAACGAGGCCAGGGCACTCGGTGCAGGCAGACGGGCAGGCTGGTGCAGGCAACTACCATTACGGAATAGCGTGTCTATGGGTGGAGGAGGCACTGGGGCTGGGCGAGCAAGGAGCGAAGGATCTGGACCCTGGCAACTAGTCACTGCCTCAGTCTGCACTCATGGGCTGCAGCTGAGGTGCATTGGGACCATCAGCTTCAACCTATGCCCAGGGTCACCCCCAAACACCAAGGTTTGGCTAAGTGCTCTAAAAGGACGCAGTGCTTTTCCACTGGTGGGAATGAACTCTCCCCTAACATCCTGGCAATGAGAAAGGGTAAAATAGGTTAGATACACAGAAGGGAAAATGTTTACACTCCAGGGATCGAGTATATGTGTTTGTGTGTGTGTGTGTGCATGTGTGTGTGCGTGTGCATGTGTGTGTGTGTTGTGTGTGTGTGTAAAGGTGGAGGGCTTATCCAAGAACTTCCTTGGAGGGTTTTTTTTCAGGTTGGTCCCCCAAATCAGCTGATTTCTGAGCATGATCTATCCTTGAGAGGGAAGGGCAGATTCTTTAAGGAGCAGGAGTAGCCCTCCAGGGTAGCAGGGCTGGGGTAAGCCTTGGGCCTGGTGGAATGAGGACCATGCCCCTTCTCCAATGGCCGCAGCACGTACTCCAGGTAAAGGCAAGATCGTGGAAGAGGGAAAGTCCTTAGAGCCCCCTTGTCTGATAGACAGAGAAAGAGAGGTCCCAGAAGGCTAAAGGACATGTCCAAGGCCCTGTGGCTGAGATAGGATGGTAGCCCCACTCCCCATGTTGCTCTGGTTTCCCAGGCAGGGTTTCATCCCTCATATCATCCTGGCACATGGAATGGCTCCCTTCCCCAGCAGCCTCTGTGGAACAGTTGCCAGACTTTTCCAAGATAGAAGGGTCTTATTTGTTTTCTGCAGAGAGAGGGAGAAAACATCCATCAGGACCTTTAGCAGTGGCTTCTTTGGGATTATGATTACTTGCTAACAACAACACTTTCTCAGAGATATCTACCGAGTATTGAGGATGATGGCACAGAGAGGCACAAAAGGCTACTTCTTCCCATTCTGTGCAAGAGGGCAGCTGTGCTATAAGCTGGCTCAGCAACTTGCTGCAGGACCCTCATCTCTCTAGTTGGATCTCCTGCCTCTTGCCATCTGAAGGAGAAAGCAAGAGAGAAAACGGTGTAAGTTTGCCTCCTTGTCAGGTAACCTACTCACTAGGCAGGCACATTGCCTCTATCAGGACTGTGAGCCACCTTGGCAGGTTCACACAGATCAAAAAAGGCAACATTTAGAGCATCAGGCCCTGTCCAAGTGTAGACCTGGCTTGCCTCCTCCCCAGAGGCTTGGAAAAATAACTTTGGAGAGGAATTCTGTATGTGGTCGCCTTGGAACCAAAGCTGAATGACCACCATTTGTAACTCAACTACAATCAACAAACCACTGATTTTGTGCTACACTGGCTTCCAACTCAGCGTGCCAGGCTGAACTCGATGACATCTAAGGAAGGGCCTTTCCAACAATAGGGGGCTGATTCCAGAACTCCTTGCTCAATGGACTTTTTGTATTAAATGAGGTAGTCAATCAGAAATTGTGACTCCAGTAGGATTATGCTTGTGGGTTATTGCTTATTCTGTTTTTGTTGATTTCATAGAAGTCAAACCCACTTCACTGCCAGGGCCTCTGGTCCCTTTGGTCCCTTCTTTGCTCCTGATTCTGTTGTTTCCATACTGAAGCTAATACCTTCTGGTCTGGGATGTTCAGCTATATTGTTTTGCATTAAACTCCCCAAAGGTTCTATACCCACAAAGGTGCTCTATGCCTAATATGTGACTCAAAAGGTAAAGAGATAAAGGAGAGTAGTATTGAACAGAGGGGTTTCAGTTAGACACTGGAGATAATTTCTTGATGGGAAAAGTTGCGAGACACTCAGATACATCCTGAAATTGGGCTCTGGACTATGTTCTCTGATCTTTCCTGAGCCTTTTCAGCACAGACTTGCCCAGAGATAACAAAGTGGGCAAATGTCCCTTTCAGATCCCTGTGATCCTCTGATTTTATGTATGAAAGCTCTAAAAATAGAATCATGGGAGAAAAAGGAAGAGAAATACCATGAGAATAAAAGAAAGAAAGTGGAAAAAGCAGGTATTGGGGGTGGGTGGAGATTAGGAAAAGCAGAATGTGATGGGAAATGCTGGAGAAAAAGCAAGAGAACCACGTTGAAACATGGTAAGAAGTTAGGATCCAGTGCCTGGCAAATAGATGTTGGTTAATAACACAGTATTTATTGGTGGGTAAATGAACAAATGTACAAACCACCCTCTCCAGCCCCATCTGGTGGGTGGGAAAACTGAGGCATAATTGGACACTAGTCCAAGTCTCCCTACTGCTCCTTGGTGTGAGGTGGGAAGCAGCGTTGGCCCCAGGAGAGGAGTGGAGGGAGAAGCGTGCATCTCCCCACCTGCCTGTGGGTACGCAGCGCCCTGGGGTCTCGGCCTGTGTAGCTCAGGAAGGAGAATGGGAAGGAACAGGCTGAGCCCCTCCCTCTTGTGTGGCACTGCCCTGCACTGCCCAGGCCTGGAGCCACCAGGATGGCAGAGTGGAGCCCATCTCGGCCAAGGGCCCATGGCTCCTCCCCCTCCTCTCTTCCCTCAGGGGCAGGAGAAGAACTGAATCCTTTCTTCTGTCGGGAGCTATGTAAAACATCCACTGATTTTGGAGGTTGGGTTCCAGGCCTTCTCTTTCTTTCCTTCTCTCCTCACTTCTCTTTGAGTTTCCAGAGCGCAGTCCCCCCAAAATTTCCAGAAGTTTCTTTCCTCCCTCAAGACAATGGGGTCTGGGAGAGGATGGGAGTCTTCACCAAGTCATTGGGAGGCAGGTTCAACTTCCTGCCATTGAGAACACCTGAAAGATCTCCCTAAATGTGTTTTTTTGTTGTTGTTGTTTTTTGTTGTTGTTTTTGTTTTTGTTTTTGTTTTTTTTGCTTTGAAGGAATAGGGAGGTGTCCATTTATTTTGTGTCTTTCTTCCCTCGACCTTGTTCACAAACATCTTGGAAGGGACATCCGAGTGGGAGTCCTCTGACATGTCAAGGAGGCTTTGGCCCTAATGGCCCTCCATGCTCCTCTGGAGTGACCAAAGCCGTATGGCCTGCTCATGGAAAAGAGCTGAGAGAAAGACCAGTGCCAGTGTGAAGGTGCTCAACACACGCAGGTGAGTTCTATCTTTTAGATACTATTTCTCCCCCTCAGGATAGTTGTGCCAAATTGAATCATTGGGATATAGGAGGGAACACTGTGCTTCCTTCCCCCGCTCCAAAACGACTAATGAACAGTAGTACAAATAGGCCTCTCTGTTCTGAGGAGATAGAGGAGAGAAAAATCACATTGCCTAGGCAAGGCAAATGCGAGCATGCTCCCGGGGAGGCCTGCCAAGAGCTCTTATATAAGCTCCAGTGAGCTCATATGTTTTCTCGCCCATCAGCAGATCCTGGGCTTCAGGGCCAGGGGTTAGGCTGGAGGAGGGAGCCGAAGAGAGACTGTGTTCTTCCAAAGAGGGGGTGCTCTGAGAAGAAAACACGGTCCTACTCTCAGGAGGATGAAAACAATTATCATTGCCGAGTCAGCCAACATAGACTCGCATTCCTTACAGCAGCAATGTCACAAAAAGAGATGATGGTGTTTGTTTCTATGACCCCCATGGTGTGGGGGAAGGGGTGGGGTGTTTCCTAAGTCAAACAGATGTAGATGTGCACTGGGAGTATGGATAAGGAAGCTTTTCCTCCTGGCATGGTGGAAAGCCAGATGGGTGCTCAGTTAGGTCCACCAGCCAGAGACTGAGTATATTAGGCCTTGGTTTCTGGTTGTTGATACCACCCAGGCTGTTTTGAATAGGAAACTTATTGACTGAGACAGGCTGAACATTCTGGAAGCTGCTGTCACTCATTTTGCCTGCTTCTCTCGTTTGGCAGAACCACTGAACCATCAGACTTTTGTAAGCAAACTACCGAACCACCTTGCCCACCATCTTGCCCAGAACATCTGCAGATGTTGCCCAGAACATTAGCTTGCCCTGACCCCAGAAGCTAAGCAAAGAGCAAGTGGAATGATATCTTTGCCTATCAAAAACGGTATCTTGCCCTGCATAAGTGAGCTGAGGCTTCTCAACCAAGTTTCTCAGACGTTCTCTCAGGAGTTAACGCACTTCCAGTTCAATTATGCCCCAGTGGAGGGGGAAGACCTGTCTGTCCATCTCAGCAGCTTACCCCCGCCAAGTCTAGCACCATGTTCATCACGTGGTGGGGGCAATAACCATAGCTGTCTTGTATATGATTAAATGAATCTGCAGATATAATGTTTCACTCTTTTGCTGTCCCAAATAATACTGTGCCTGGTCTTTCTGTAATTACCAATGTTTTAAATAATTTTTATTAAAAAAATAAGAACATGCACTGTTTAGATAAATTTCTACCTCCTGCAAATGCTTTGTGTTTTCTCTCTGGCACCATTAATGCTTGTAACACTTCTCTACTTCATATCTTTTGAGAATTTATTTAATGTACTGTTTACTTCCCTCTCTCTAGATCAATCAGGAACGTTCTGAATACAGCTAAGACCTTCCTTGGGTTCCACCCAGAACTTTCTCCTCATTAGTGTTAGAGTAATGTCCTGATTAACTTCTATTTGTGATTGAGGAATGACTGAATGTACCAGAGCACCCGGACATCTTCCAACAGCACTGTGTTTGATGTACACAGCCTTTCACACATAAGGAAGGATCCCCTATAATGTGTGTAAGTATTTTGGTGTGAGACGTCATGACATCTGTAATTTAAAATACCTTCAGTAAAAATAAAAAAAAGATTCAAATATGGCAAAATAATAATTGTTGAATCAAAGTGATAGGTATATGTGTTCTCATTATACTCGTGGGTCTACTTTTCTGTGTGTTTGAAAATTTCCATAATAAAAACATTATTCCCAGATATTCTAATTCAAGGAAATGTATTTAACCTGGCTGGCCATGGTGGGAAGCTTTAGGAGGCTGACAGAGAGGGAGGGAGGTGGAGATTACTTAATCCTTTTAGGCTTATTATCATTACTTTCATGCCTGGTGGTAGGAGAGTAGGATGATAGCAAACCCCAAACAGCAATTTAATGATATCCTCTATTATTAACACCTTCCATGGATGTATGTTCCTCTGAGTCAAAAGATCTAGTTAGTTCTCAATCCTTTTGCCTCAAAGAGGTTGGAGAGAGAGGAAATATTCACCAGGAAAATTTTTCTTTTCTTGAAGATCATGCCATTTTCTGGTAACCAATCAGTATCAGTTTTCTCAAAAAAAAAAAAAAAAGGGTGCCTGGTGGCTCAGTTGGTTAAGTGTCTGCCTTCAGCTCAGGTCATGATCATGGAGTCCTGGGATCAAGTGCCCCATGAGGCTCTCTGCTCAGTGAGGAGCCTGCTTCTCATCTCCCTCTGCTCCTCCCCACCCATGCTCTCTCAAATAAACAAAATCTTTAAAAAATAAATTAAAAAGACCAAAAAAAATTTTCATTAATTACTTTGAAAGTACTGGTATTTATTCCCTCAACAAAAAACAAACACTTCCTGGAGTCTTTTTCTGGATTGTCATTTATATTGTGAGGTTTAGAAATTCGTTTCCTTTTGTCCTAAGGAAAAAATAAATTACCATTTTATGATTCCTCACCTTGTAATTCTTGCTAAGATTCCATTTTTAAAAGGATTTTTTGTGTTTTTTTGGGGAAAGGAAAAAGTTCAAAAAATTTTTTGCATCATTCTAGAAGCAGTCTTTTTATCCCAAATTCAGATTTATCCAACAGATTTTTAAAAGGATATTTCGGATCTCTGTTCCACCTTTATGTATCCTTTGCTGAATTCTGATGTTTGACTACCTGACCTCATTTCACTTGCTCCTCATCCTTAATATGGTCTTTGTATCCTTTAAGACAGATCTTTCATATTATGTGAACACCCTAATCAGGTGAAGTCTTTGCCAGCTGTCTATGGTTGACTGCCTGCCATCTGAGTGAGGTCCTAAAACGAGGCCCAGCTGGCACCTTGGGGAGAGGGCCTTAGAAAAGGGGAGGGTAAGGTGTGCGTGTGCCTTCTGCAGCCCAGATGGGCTCCTTCTCAATGGGCCTCTACGGTCCTCCGGATGAGCACTGTTTACCTCTCCAGCTTTGTGGACTTGGGTTTCCACTTCGAGAAGGAAGTCAGGGAGTTGTGCACATGGGATCGATTGGGGGTAATAAGGCCTGCCACTGTGCCTGAAGCTCAGAGGAATCCACAATGGCACTGCAGGTACAGGCGTGGCTTTGAAGGCAAATTCTGATAGATCTGAATCCTGGATCTGCCGCTGTGAGATCTGCTCTTTTTCTCAGTTTCCTTGTTTGTCAGGTAGGGAACTGTATACTGCCAACTTCATAAGGTTTCCTGTGAGGTTTAACGGTGGTCATAAAAGTAATAGGTTTTGGACCACACAATAAATGATAGTTATTTACTAACAGTTTCATTAATGCCTGGACACATCCATATTACATTAACTCAACTTTAAGCTGCTTAAAAATAAAAAAGACTTGTCCTTTCTTTCATTTTTGAACTACAGTGCTCAGCTCCCTTGCCCAAATAAATCTGCTAAAAAAAAATCCAGTTCTCCATGTCTTTTCATCTCTTGAATCTGTACCTTATTATGCCGATCTCTTACTGTGTTGTAACTCTACTTCTGTGCCGCCTTTTTATTCTTTTGCCCATTCTGACCTGATGGCTAAGAAGTAGATTGCAAATATTTCTTTCTATCCAAGTTGAATTTCATATTTTCTGAATCATGAAACTGCCCTCCATGTGACCTAGAAAGCCCTCTGATGATCCATATTTAGCTGTGTCCATCATTCAACAGATGTCTGGGTAGTTAGAGGCCCCCATGAGCTCCCTCTATATCCTGTGGTTTCAAGTTCCTGAGTTGTTAGTTAAAAAGCTTTCATCGCCTCTACCTCCCCTTCCCCTACTCATTCCAGGACAGAAGGACAGATACCCACTTTAGCTATTCATTCATTTAACAAATATTTATTCATTACCTACTACATGCATGATGCTGGGTTCTATGTTCTCTTCTTTGTGTCCAACTTGCATTTTCCTAATTTGGAGCATTTAGAGTTGTCCTCATGTTTTCTGATTATTTCTCTAGAATCTGCCTTGAGTATCCAATCACATGGTCTCTCCTAGCTGCAGTGTTTCCTGACCCTTGGGAGGCTCGAAGGCTTACCTGAAAACTCTGGTGCCTTGCTCTAATGCACCTGCCATTGTGGCCACAGATTTCAGGATAACATCAGTTCATTGTGGGCTCCATCTAAGAGAGTTCAGCTAGCAAATGAGGCTGCAGGGCTACACTTGCCTGCGCCATGGTCTTAAAGAATGAAGTGGTAGCCAGGGTGGGTGCCCAGCAAGTTGAGCCATTAATTTCCCCAAACCCTTGGTTTTCTGTGTCCCTGGCTTCCCACAGAGATTCCCGTGAGGAAAGATGCCTGTCTGCTTTTTGAGCTCTCTGGATCTTCCCATTAGATAGCTTCTCTTGGCATCTGAAAGGCAGCCTGCCATTCTGTTCTCCCGTGGAATACAGATGGCCCAGCCCACGCCTATCACTAATGAGGATCACATGCAGAGCCTTCTTGCCGGGAGGCTCCCTTCAACAACCCCAGCCCTCCTTTCCCATGCAGGCCAGGCACCGTTGACCGTGGCATTTATATCTGAGAAGGCTGCTTGCTGCTCTCCCACTCACAGAGTTGAACAGAAAATCTATTAGGTAGCCCGGGGGAATGACTCCCATTCAGCTAGAATCTGAAACATTGAAGATGAAGTTTTGGCTGCCAATTTGATTTCAAAGTTGAGGTTTGGGGTTCCAGCTGTCCAAGGAGTCTGTTGACTTTAACTGTGAACAAGCACTGGAAGTTCTTCAGTAGGAACATGATGAGATGGCTAAACAGAGGTGGACCTGATAGATCCATTTGCCAATGCTGTGTAATCTCACCCAGAATGGTGGTAGGGTTGGAAACAGACAAGAATGTTAAAAGCACTAAAGTCTAGTAGAAAAAGCATACATTTTGGTGAGACAGATCCATGTCAAGTGTTCGCTGTTACTACTTACTATGTTTGACCTTGGACAAGGTACTTCACCTTTCTATGCACTAATTCCTTTATCTGTGACATAAGTACAATGCCTGTATCATAGGCTGTTCTGAGGATTAATGGGACACCGCATGAAAAGACCTTGACATGGTGCCTTGTATCCAGTAAGCAATAAATGGGAATTCCCTTTCCTCTCTCCTTTTCCTGTTTTCTCTCTATAGTAGAAAGTTGAAAGATGTACTCTAACATGATAGGACATCAAGGTGAGATACAAACAATGGCTCCATGGGAAATTCTAGACAATTCTGCTCTCTTGTTTTATCTAAAACTTGATTAATATTTGAGATGTGTGATGGTTTCTTTTTCCATGTTATCACAAGTCAGCTGCAGGTCTGATGTTTGTGACTAGATGAGTTCCACACTGTCAATATGGACCCTGACAGAAAGGCAGAAACTCTTTTGGTCTGAATACTGTACCTCATTCCTTTAACTCTCCAAGCTACTGAGGGGAGATCACCACCACTAGCTGTCCTCAGAGGATATCAATGATTGATTCTGGTCAATCCTGCCATGTATTAGATGGGGTCTAATTGTCTAGTACCCACTGATCCAGAAATTTCTCTGGGAGTCATTTTCATTCTTTCAGAAAACAAGGGACACTGAGGTATGCTATTCAAAAGAAAGTAACAGATTCTGAATTATTTCAACAGCTTCTTGGACAAGGTAGATCTATCATTGCTTGTTCCCCACCCAACCAGGTCGAGGCTCATCCTGTAAGAGTGGGTAACTTTTCATTCCCCCAGAAGGCAGCCTCTTCCATATTTGGCCAGTTCCAAAAGCAGTCATTAAATTGAATATAAATCAACCTCTCTATAACTGTGCTGTTCAGACCTGGTTCTGTTCTCTGGAGCTACAGAGATGAAGTCTGACCCCTGGCAGCTATCACGTATTCTAGTCCCTTGCCCCTGACCCCCGAGGAAGCAGAGAGTCCAGATCCTTGATTCTTGCTTGAAGACATGTAGAGGGGAACATTAAAAATAGTTAAATAGTCACATAGAAGAAATTAAAGAGGGTCTTAAGAATGGAGACTCCTTGTCCTAGAGAAGTACTTTTTGGAATATTATTGCTGAAGACGTTTACTTGCGTGTTCCTATCTCCACTGAGAACAAAAAGAAGAAATGGTGGGCATAAGGCAGTGTTGCTAATCTACGGATGTTGACAGACAAATAAAAGACACTATGATTCTTTAAGGTGAATTCTCAGAGTTAAGCCTTTCAATGTCTCTCCTAGAAAGGGAGCTAGTACTTGATCACAGAACTCTGTTTTCATGTAGCATTTTATGACTACTAACATTTTGTGAAACACATCTTAGGAAATTATGGTCTCAGATATGCTGTGGGGACTTAGACATTTGAAATAACTTCCTGATTGGTTATTGTTGGATCCTGGAACTGGTGGCTACGGAGCACTATGAAGTTTCCTTCCTCGGAGGGTTGGTAGACTCTTCCTCCTTCCCTTCCTCTCTCCCTTTGATATTAACATTAGGTACCCACTTGCCTGGGAATGTTGAGGTGTAGGCCTGGGACATAGGGGAATCTGGAAGTCTAGATCCTTCCCATTCCCATGATTCTATTTTTATGGACCCAATTGTGGTGTGTTCCACGGAAGGTACAGCCTAGCTGGGACAGGAGGTAACAGAGGGTTTTGGCCAAGAGGAGAGGGGGCTAGGGATGGGAAAAGTTGATGCAATTATTTTTGTCAGGAATTGGAACCAAAGCAGCAGGAGAGAGTAAGTTTTAAGACTCTCTGGCAAAGTAACTTCCTAATCTGTCACTGAGTATGTGTAAAAAAGTGATTAGTGGGTCTCTATATTTATCATGATTACTCACAAATATGTAATTTGCATAATATATACAGCACATTAAGTACTATGTCACCTTATATAATGTGCATATGTATAATGTATATGCATGTTATGTAACGCCAGTCTGGAGGCTCTTCCAGATTCTGCCAAGTATTTCCTAATTTATTTGGCAATTTTAACATATCTTTTCCATCTGTGGAAAGAACTATCTTGAGAGGAGCTGGTCTCTGACCTGAAATATAATCATTCTACTAAGCCTATCTCCATTCTCAACTCACTGGAGGAAATCCACAAAGACCAAGCCATAATGAGATGCAACTCTCAGCTCAATAGTCCAGGGACAACACAGCGTATTGAAGATTTTCTGTTTTTAATTATTTTTATTGCTGGTGGGGTAGAACTGTGGGGGCAGGTGAGAACATGTCTGTGGCACGGTCACAATCAGAATAGGATGAAGGATAACTAAGGGATGGGATTCTGCTCTGATTGCCTAACTGTGTGGACGTTGGGAAGTCCTCGAACCCTCATTAAGCCTCACTGTCTCATTATTAAGATTGGGATATTAATACCTTCTCCATCAACCTCTGAAATTGCTGGAAGGCCCACTATGGTGAGGTACTCTACAGGAAGAAGACTCTCCTGGTCACAAGAGCTAAGGAATGAGTTGCAATTATCACACTACACAACAACACTAGACTTACTGAGGTTACCAAATTGGAAGTGCAATTCCACTGCTTTGTTATACTCGGTGGCTCTAGGATTATGTCTCTCAAGCAACACTGCAAGTCCTATGCACCAGACTAGAACAGGCAGCGGCCACTCTGCCTTGTGGATCTCTGAGACTCAGTTTCACCTGGGCATAGGGTCACATCCCAAGAGCCTCAATCTTGGGCAATCGGGGTCAAAACATATGCCAAAACTTCTGTCAATGTCTCAGAACCAGTGACCTCAAATCTGAACCTGCCTTTGTTTCAAAATCAAGTGGCTTCCAAGATAGTACCTGTTGTTATTCTGGAGCTTGTTGGTCCGTCCCATCACCAAGGATCTCATCATTCAGGACATTCTTCAGGTGGCCTGGATTTCCCCTCACCCACCGGTTTCGCACCGTTAGGTCCAGCAGGATGGTCCTAGATGACTGCTTCCTTCAGAGTCAGGATCAATGTGTACACACAATCTTAATTTCCCTTCCTTGTGCAAAACTCCTGACTCAGTGCAAGATTAGAGAGGGCTCAGTGGAGTAATGTCGAGTGGGCCCAAGTTTCCTTTCAAGAAATCTCAGAGGGGATGGAGGTCCAATGGAGCAAAGGTGCCAAGGCAAATGTTTCTGCCTACTAATGAAGCTCTACACAGACTTGCCCTCGGGAAAGGAGGGTAATGCTGGCACCAGCTGCATAAAGCCCACTGGGCTCTGCCAAGACCCCTCCAGGTGCTGGGTGGCAGCACCTTGCAGAATGTGCCTTGGTCCTTGTGAGTCTCCACTGAGGTCATCCCTGCAGCCAGAGGTGTTTCCAAGCTAAGCGGCCATGATGACCATGATGAGTTGACATGTGGAGAATTTAATCTGGTGATCTGTCTGGTGCCTTTAACCCCGACCAACTTCTTACCAGTTCAGGCCAGAAAGAATCTCTGGAAGCATCATGAGGCCCTCATTTTCTTGTGTGGGCCTGTCCCATCCACACATGTGCTACACATTCATTCTTCCCTGGAAACCTGGATTCGAATGGAACAATTTCTCAGTGACCAGAAATGACCCTATTGTAAGACGCGTGGGTTCTTTTTTCTAATAAATATCCTCTTAATGGCACCTATTCCCAAACCACATTAGTTAAGATGCCATGGACAGGTCTCCTAACTTTTCTGAGACTCATCGTCTCTATCTGGCAAATGAGAGAGTAAATTCTGTCCAGTATATCTTTCACGGCTCTTTTGAGAATCCAGAATAGGAATTCTTAGTCTCTTTACAATAAGAAGCTACTTTCATTTCCCTTAAATCTCATGATCACCACGGGGAAATGTGTCTTGACAATGAAATGGTGGAATGGGGGAGTAAGAACCTTCTTTTTCTTTCCCACTTTCTGTTCCTATTCTACATATTTTTTTCCCAAAATCAGGAAAAGTCCATCAGTAAATAAATATTTATATATACATGTATATATAAATATATATGCTACATATATGTACACACACACATAAGACCATCAGAAGGGCCCTCAGGTCACACTTTGGGAGTAGTAGGTGCAAAGAGGCAGGTGGGAACCACCTGATGGTTTGTCTCCTGGTCTTCTCAGCAAGAGGCCCTTCCTTCTCATCTTCTCTGCCTTCAGGAATAGTCTGCCACCAGGGCTTGGAACTCAAACAGGAAACACGCTTTGGCTTGAAAAAGAAAGAAACTGGGGGTGGTTTTTTTTTTCTTCCCTTTTTACACAATATTATGACACCAATTTGAAAAATAAATCCCAGTTTCTCTGCTTTCCCTCCCAGGTGTTCACAGAACTAAGAAAATAAATACCACATCTAAGGTGTGCTGTGCAGGCAGCTCTGGGGGCTCTTGGAGCCGTCTCTAAACAAACACACAGCCACCAGAAGAAGACTTTGGGAAAATAACAAGTGCCCACTGACAGTGTGTGGAGAACCAAGAATGGAAACACAGCTTTCCACAGCCTTTCTGCCTCCTCAGCAAGTTCAGGGAGACGCTGCTGCTTGAAGGACAACTAAGAAACCAACGTGCGCTTGCTGAGCCCTGCCAAGGGCTCTGCTCTGAGAGTTGGAGGCCGTTTGTCTCTGTACAGAGGGACCTTTGTGTAAATTCTCTGGAATGGGAGCTCTTTTCCCTGGCCACATCCGATCTCACCAGGCAGGAAACCTGCAGCCTGCTTCTTGTGAGCGTCCATGAGGGAACTTACAGGACTGGTGGGAAGAGAGAGGGATTTCTCCTTCAGTCTCAGGGCCTTCTGGGAATGTGGAGGTTGCCATATGAGCCAACCACACCCTGGCAGGCCCTAAGTCCATTCAAAATTTTCATTGGTACTGGCTCTGCTGGGGTGTGCCCATTATTGAAGTAGACAGAATGTACAGCAAGATGAAGATTTCTTCCTGATGGGTGGCTTTGCTTCCACCGGTTAGAGATGAGTGTGCATGTGTGTGCGTTGTGTGTGCATGTGTGTGTGTGTGTGTTATAGTCTCTTGTTTTCTCTCTTGGTTTAACTGGCGTTTGGCATATTATTTAGTCTTTTGAACGGCTCTTCCTCCTCAGTGAAAAGAAGCTGCTCTTCTGCGGAGGCCCCATCATCATAGGCGCTTGATTCTTGTGGGTAATTTTAATCTAAAAGCAAAGAGGCATAAGTGAATTAGTGGTATGCAGATCCCACTAACCTATGAGAGAGGGAGTTGTAGAGGGAGGAAGGCGGGCCAGCTTCGGGTTGGAAGGAGCCCCATGCAGAAGGACGACTGTCCTTGAACAGCTTCAAAATTGGCAACTGGACCCTCACTGGGCCTGGAGTTTGGCACTGCTGGAAGTGAGGGGCGGAAACACTGGGGAGAGACAGGTGTGAGCTTCCCACGTGGTGATCAGCTCGCACCTGTCTTGTGTCCTTGCTATTCATAGATTCTCAAAATGTCACAGCCAGAGCAGACCTCAGGAGCCATCTCATTCGACCCCTCTGCAGGACAGATAAAGGAATGGAGACCCAAGGGTCTGTTGAGCCTTGGATTAGCCTAAGGTCACACAGGGAGGGCTGGAGTCCAGTTCTTTGGATTGTGAGCTTCCAGGGCTCCTGGCTGCTCTTGTCTAGGCAGTGCAGAGACATCAGCCGGTCAACTCAAAGTCAACCTAGAGCCTTCAGTCCAACATCTGACCCAAGCCACATCTTGTGGAAAGTTTCAAGTGAGTCCCTTAGGTGTTTCCTCTTTTCTTAGCTTTCCAGGAAAAAACCAACTTTCTTTTTGAAAGCTTCTTCTTTTTTTAATTTTAGGGTCTATGAGTTTTTTTCTCCTACAGACTTTAAGTCAGTTGGAAGTGAAAGGCACTGGTGAATTCTCACTTTTGCCTTTCTTCCCAACCTTATCCTCAGGGCATGACTTCAGAACGCTAAATCACTATTTCAATGTGGCCTGATGACACTGCACGTCACTAATCTGCATTATCAGTCCATCAGCATTTATCAAGTGTGACACATGTCCAGAGTACGAAGATGATGTGGGAACAAGAGGCACTTAGGTATCAAGGGCCTAGGTTTGGGTCTCCGATCTCCTGCTTCTTTTCTCTGAGACTCTGGACGAATCATTTAACCTTCAAAGCCATGCTTGCTGAACTGTAAAATGAGGATAATAACATTTGTCCTGTTTTCCTCACAAAGTTGTTGTGAAGTTCAAATGGGAGACTGTCAGTGAAAGCCCGCTGTAAACTCTAAAATGGGATGCAACAGTTAGTTAAATAATTGTTATCTTACAGTGGAGGTGAAGGAGAAAGATGTATGTCAAAGAAGCAATCCATGAGCTCATTCTCATGGTTTCTGCATTATTGGAAATGTCAGTGTGGTCACAGAGAACACAGAAAAACTCTTGAAGACAGAGACCCATCAACAAGTTTAAATTAATGCAAGGATAGACCAAGTGGTATCAAAAAGAAGTTAGGTAAGGAAGGAGAAGAGTCTGAGTGGAGAAATTAAGGAAGAGTTTTAAGCTCTGAAAGAAAGGGAAGGACATGTATTGGTGAAAAGAGAAAGGAAAGGCACTGGGTGGAAGGGCCACCACGTATGACCTGGTTGAGTGTGAGGCACAGAATGAGCGATGAGGTCAGGGAGGCAGGTGGGGCAGTTGGCCTAAGGCTTTAAAGGGGATGTGGCAGAGGCTGGGTTTAATGTGAGGTAATGAGGAAGCACCATAACTTTTAAGCTGCAGAATAACACCATGATGAAGAGAAGAGTTCCAGGGAAATTACTCCACAGCTGTTGTCAGGGCAAGCTGGAGTAGGGAAGACTCTGGCTAAAAGGGTACTACTGCGAGCCAGGTTTAAATTTATAAGTCCCCAGGATATGGAAAGACAAAGATGAAACCAAAAGACATTGTGGAGAATTAGCATAACTTGGGTGACAGAAGCTGCAGATGACTTTTAACGTTGGTTTTCACCCCCCAGGAGCTCCAGGAGGGGAGGTCATCTTTCTGTTTTGGGGCAGGCCCCAGAAGAGCAAACCAAGAATACATCAAGTACCATTTAATGTTATGGGCTTTATTATGTTTATTCCAGAATTCGTGGAAGTGAGGCAAAGCCTAGGGACTCTGACACAACTTGTCTGTGGCACGTAATTTAGCCCCAACTGATCAGAGTGACTTGTGGCACATGTCCTTGTGTTGTGGCAAGCCTTTCTCATTCCTGAGCACCAGAGCCCCCTATGCCGGAAAAACTTGGTCTTATTCACCACGCTCCTCCCTGACCCAGCATATCTCCCTTTGACAGAGCATGGCCTGGAAGTACTGACAGATGAGCACAACCCAGGAGAGAGAGAGAGAGAGAGAGAGAGAGAGAGAGAGAGAGAATATCCTGGCAGTGGAGATGGCTATGTTTGGGGCAGACAGTGGCAGCTGATGCACTGCCTATATTTCCCGCTGATAGAGCCCATTTTTTTAGATGATGGAAGACCCTTACTTCTCCTTTTTCTTTCTCTAGCTGAGCAATTTATTTGCTTGTTAGCACCTCCAGGGCAAAGAGGAGGAAGTGAAACTCAGATCCCTCCCATTTGGCTTTTCAGCAGTTTTGACAAAGGTCTTGATGGGGTAGGAGTTTGGAGATCCTGGCTAACATGAGATTTTGATGTGGCTTGCGGATTCCAGTGCCATAGGTAACTGAGAGTTCACTGTACGTACATGCACTGAAGTGGGAGACCAGACTCTCATTTTGAGTCAAAGCGGTATCAGTCTTTTATTCTCTTCTCCCTCATTTGGGAGAGGCTGGTGGGCTAAGTAGTTCAGAGTCCATTGCAGGAGGTAGGTGGACATTGTGAAGCTTGCCTTTTCAATCCCCGATGGAAAGACCCCAGCATCCCATATCTCTGTAGTTAGAACTCAAATTTCTCTGCTAATCTGGCTGGTCAGGCAATTAACTAAAGTCTTTACAATTTTCTTAAAAACCTTTCATGAGATTTACAACATCTGACAAGCACTAAGTACAGCAGCCTCATTATCTTAGTTCTCTACTGTATTAGGGAGAGAACCATACAGTAGGCTCTTGTGTGATAGCTCAAAATTCACAAAACCATTGCAATATGTAATTTCCCTTTAAAGTGGAGTAAATTTTAAAATTTTACTAGTGCTGGGTGTTGACTTTGTTTTGGGGGCCATTTCCTGCAAATCAACACACTTTTATTACTTCAAGAGATGCAATAAACTGTGGGACTCCTTCTTGCATATTGCCCCCTCTGGGCCAATAATTCAGACGACACCCCTCAAAATGGCCAATACCAGTAAGTGTGGACCCATCTCAAATCATTTATGGAGTATCTCCTGCTTAAAGAGAAGCTAGGGGAGATGCGAGGGGGCTTGCACAATCTTTCAGGTCTTAGCTGTTAATGGTCCTCTAAGTTCTTAGGATGCCCTGCTTCACGAGAGGGTTTCTCGTCATCAGAGGCTTTCAAATGTAGCTGGACAATTAGGTTTTGCTAGTAGTGGAGGAGAAGTCTGGGCTATATTGATAAGTCAGGAAGTTCAACTAGATTATTGGTTCTCCAAGTGTGGTCCCTACACCAGCAGCATCAGCATCTCCTAGGAACTTGTCAGAAATGCAAATTCTCAGGCATCCAGAATTACTGAACTAGAAATCCAGCAATCCATATTTTAAAAGCCTTCCAGGTTATTTGGACACACACTTAAGTTTGAGAATCACTAACTAGATAACCAGAATCCCTTTTCACTTTGAGATCATATCTGCGGGGGAATATTTTTAATTTTAAGGCTCAGATTATATGCTGCCTAACTGATGATAAGACATGAGAGGTCATCTTACCCTGCTGCAAGCACAAGACAAGTTTTCTTAATAATATGTATTTTATATACATATATTTATGTGCATAAACAAACATATGCTCACTTTTGAGAATTCAGAAAATGTGGAAAAATTAAATAATCACCTAGAGGTAATTGCTGTTAATTTTTGGGTATGGTTTTTTCAGTTTATTTGTATGCTTATATGTTTTTAATATACTGAAATCAGGGGCAACCTGGGTGGATCAGCAGTTTAGCGCCACCTTTAGCCCAGGGCCTGATCCTGGAGACCCGGGATCGAGTCCCACGTCAGGCTCCCCGCATGGAGCCTGCTTCTCCCTCTGCCTGTGTCACTGCCTCTCTTTCTCTCTCTCTCTCTCATGAATAAATAAAATAAAATCTTAAAAAAATATATACTGAAATCAGCCTCTAAATCTGTTTTCACTTAGTATTATTTCATAAGCATTTCTGATGTCATTAGGTATTCATTAACATTTTTCAATGGCTAAAAATTATTCTATTTGATGAATCTCACATAGCTTACTTAACCCATTCCTTAAATGTTAGGCTTCCCCCCCATTTTTGCCCACTGACAACCTCTATTTTACTTAAAACAATTCCTAAAAGTAAAATGAACACAATTTTAAGGGTCAAAGGAAATGAACTGGCTCAATGTATATTAATATTTGTAAGGCTCTTCTTGATACATGGCTACCAGTGTTATATATATATATATATATATATATATTTTTTTTTTTTTAAGATTTATATATTTATTTGAGGGAGAGGACGCATGTGTGCCCATACACAAGTTGGGAGGGGGCAGAAGGAAAGAATCCCAAGTAGACTTCCTGCTGAGCCCAGAGCCCCACGTTTGACTGGATCTCAGGACTCTGAGATCATGACCTGAGGTCATAACCAAAGCCAAAATCAAGACTGAGAAGCTCAACCGACTGAGTCACCCAGGTGCCCCTCTGGTTTATACTCTTATCTTACTGCTGGTATGGGTTGGCCTCAACACATCTCCACCGTAATGAATACTATCTTAAAAAGAAAACAAATTGTGCTATTTGATGAGTGAAACATGGCATGGTTTTTCTCACTATTTCTATTTGAAAGTCTTTCCCCCTTTTTTCTTAACTTATGATATTATTTCACAGCTTTGGTAGCCCATGGCATTACTTCTGTGAACTGTCTGCTCATTATTGCACTGTTAGCATCCCCTCTTGGTTTCTTTTCTTTTCTTTTTTTTTTTTAAAGATTTTATTTATTCATGAGAGACAGAGAGAGAAAGAGGCAGAGACACAGGAAGAGGGAGAAGCAGGCTCCATGCAGGGAGCCCAACGT